TTGGTTCATCGTGGGAAATACATATTTCCCTTAAGTCAAGTTTCAAGAGTGTGCAATCTTCAGTCTTCAAATTTCCATGTTCCTATATATTGTTTCAATTCTGGTCTCTGTTACTGATTTGTGAGGTACCTTGAGTTCTATCACTAGGGGGAAGGTGGCATAAAAGTTCAACAAATAATATAATATAATATAAATCTTTAGATTCTCCCAGGGAACCATTCTTATGTGAAACAGAAAGTGGGAAGTAAAACCAGCTGTGGTCTATGATTGGAGTGTATCCTGCACTAGTAGGGTAAGTTGGCTGCCCATCCTCAAACCTTGGGCTGCCCAGGAGGCAGCATTGGGTATAAAACATGCTTGCCACCTGTTACACAGAGTAGCCCACTTGCAATGTACACTCCAACCATAGGTCTGCAAACTACAAAATGCACAGAAACCCGCTGCTTCCTGCTGCAAGCCATACAATGTGCACATCTTCTTTCTGTTCACACCCTGCTTCCCATAATGGGTGGGTGGGTGGGGGATATTTCTGATGATTACGAAAGGCCCCTTCCCACAAATACTAGCTCTTTGTCTTTCTTCAGTAGGCTAACAGTGAGAGCCAACATCACAATATCTAACATTCTGTACCATTTTCTTTCAGCTGCTAGAGGAAGAAAGGTAACATAGAAAATAATCACATATTTCATGTGCTTCTGTAGAGATGTTATGGGAATATTGTGGGATTACATGCAGCTGTAGAGATAGAGAGAGCGTGTCACTATGGCGACATACCAATCAGCACTCGGAGATGGGACCCTTTAGTTTTGTTTTGCTTTTTTCTTTCTAGTAGCAATTAGTTCTCTCATTTAAGAGTCTGGATTACATTTTCAGCATTTCCCTTTTAACAGCCTAATCATACAAACTTTAGACGATACCATAATATTCAGCCAGTCATTTGCTTAACCCCTCCACTTGACATTACTTTCCAAAAATACTCTATAAACAGATACAACCAGAATTTTGACATGACTGTCTAGTCTCTCTTGAACCCGGGAAGCTCATTAAACTAATCAGGTACTCAATTTCAGAAGATGTAGTTCTTCTTCTTTGGATACAAAAACTCAAGGGTTACATTCATTTTGGAATTTAAAAGTATGAGATGCTACCATTAAATATGTAAGAAATCAAAATTACAGAAGCAGATGCACGTTCATGAATCGTGATTTTGTGTATTTAAAAAACATACTTGGAATCTGAAAGAAAGCAAAGTGGCTGGGGCCCTTTGGAACAGCAGCAAACAAAAGAGCTAATGTATTTTCCCATGTATAAAATGATACTTTTTCCTAAAATAATTAGAGGGGAAATTGAGGGTCGTTTTATACATGGAAGGGGGCAGAAGCAAAGGAGCAGTTGCACACACTTGGGCACCTCTTGCTGCTGCTGCTGCCACCCATTGCCTCCTCCAGTTCGACTGCTAGGGGTCACCTCCAGCTCACATCGCTGCCTTGTCCCTTCCGGTGATGTACGCAGTAGCAGGAGGTGGAGGCAAAGCTTCTCCTTTTTTCAAGTCGGAGAGATTTGAATCGTGTTCTCCCTGTGTGATCAGTAGTTGTATTTGTAGCGAACAGCCCTGCCCTCACCTGTCCATCACAGCTGAGCAGTGGAGAAGGAGCCAATGAGTGGACGGAAGGCGGTGCCAAGGGAGGAGGGGGCTGGATATAAAAGGCTGGTGTATGGAGTAGGAGAGAGATTCTGTGAGATTCCGTGAGTGAGAGGGATTCTGTGAGTGAGAGAGATTCTGGTAGTGAGAGACTATGTGAAACTTAAGAGTGAACTGGGAGTGAGATAGAGATCTGTGAGGACGCTGAATGGAACAGAGAGTTGATAAAGCTTTAAAGTTAAAGTAAAACTGATTCAGAATCAAGTGATTAGCAACCTGTGATTTACCTACTGTATATTAATCAGATGTTAACCTCCCTGATCAAATAAATAAGTTAAGTTTCAAAAGTACACGTCTCCTTGAGTGAATGGTATTGAGACAGCAATACCTGGTGGCAGCGAAGAAGGAAGAAGAGCGAGAACCTTGTGAAGGCCTGGGGGAATAGGGGCTTCAAAGGAGATTGCCACAGTATTCTCCAAAAGGATGGGAGGAGGGGGCATGACTTTGGGCAGTATTCTGCAGGGACGTTGGCAAGTCTTTGGTTCTCAGTCCCAAGTTCCAAATCCAAGTCCCTATTAAAAACACACTTTTTCCTCAGGTAAAAAGGAGTGGGTGGGTGGTTTCCGAGTTGTGTGTTGAGTTCGAGTCATTGAAAAAAACAAACCTGAGCGAGTCAAGTTACTGGTATGACTTAAGTCTGACTTGACAGCAAGTCCTGCATCTTGAGCTCCCATTCCTGGTATTCTGGTGAAGTACCAAGTTGGCCATGATTTTTGGACAGCAGAAGCACCTACCCCTGTGTTCGTTTTCCCTTGTTGCCCCAAAGAACTTTGTTTTAAACAAACTCTTGAATTTATCAATAGACTCCTCCACTGATATATTAGTTCACCTCTGTATGGACAAAACAAAGAGATAAAGCTCAATATGAAATAGAAACAACTCCAACAAACTAAAACAATTACTTTGTTTCCATAGTATGCCTGTATGTGCTTCCATGTGATGGAGAACACCAGAAAACTGTCCCTTTCCTCTAATGCTATACAATACTTTGAACAGCCTACCATCTTTACAATGAACTATGAAACAAGAGCCAGCGATTGACTGAGAGTAGGATCAAAGAAGGTGTGGGTGGGATGTGGCATGGATCAAACCACATTGGATTGAGGGGCCAGTGTGGATCCTGACAATGAAACAATCCGTGGTCTCCATGTGTTCACCTCATCTCAAAAGAAGCATAAAACAGGTTGCAAATCAGGATGCAGCAAAGCTGAATCGGAGTGATACAGCTTGCAAGTGTAGTTGCAGATTGACTCAACTATTGTAGATGGGAACTCTAGAATGTCTTCCAAGGCTACTGATTAATCAGCTACACAGCTCCCTAAAAGAACACTTATGCCTGTGAAGGAAAACTCTTTTGTTTTTTTCCCCCTCCTTCCTAGTAAAAAGTTAATTAGATTATATATTTAGTACATTTTTAGAAGAGGTGATCCATTAAGCTGAAATAGATGTTAGTCATACCATACGATTTTTATTATCAAACCATCTTATATTTAGTGTGCTTACATTGTATGATTAGTCGTTGGAAAGGAAATACAGTTTTAATTGACAAGTGTGATTGCTGAGTGCTGGTTCCATTGTAAGAGGGGAAACAGGTTAATTGCAGGGAATACCCTTTCCTCTTAATAGGCAGCTCGACTCAAAGAGGCTAGCTGTCAAGGATGCTTTAGCTATGGATTTCCTGTTTTCGTAGGGATTGGATTCAATGATCCTTCCAGCTCTAAAGTTCTACAATTCAATGGACCTCAAATACATATGTCAGGGACAGGAAGTCCCAGCTGTGGGCTTCATCCTTCTCCCCACCAAAGATGCTTTGGGCAATTATTCTTAGGACTTTGGTTAAGTGTCTCTTAAACATCCATGTTCATTTTATTTTAAAAATAAAGGATTACTTCAAAACTCCTCTCTGGTCTCTGTTTTAATAAACTCATTAAAGTAGAAAAGTGAATTTATCAGTTTTCCTTCCTAGCTCTAAGTTGGCTTCATCTATGCACTAATACAGCTTGGTAGAAAACAGTAAAGGAATTTTCAAAGACCTCCGACAAAGAATCTTATTGTCTAGAAACATAACAGCTTCCATTGTTGTGTATCTAGGATACAGGAGATTATTATTGTGGTGTTGTCGTTTCTATGAAACAGACACAGCATATATTGCAGCTTTTTCAGACTTGCAAGGTTGGGAAAGAGAAGACGCCGTGCTGGCCCAGCATTTCTGGAAAGCTGTAGTCCAGAAGAATTACTTTTGAAAGCTCTGGCTGGGATTGCAGATACACTGGTGTGCTACAGCATTTCCCATATATCTATTTTTATGTAATACAGAGCAAACTCCTGCGTGACCTTTCTCCTGTGTGAGATCTTCTGAACATCCAACACAGGAGGCTGCTTTCATACTTAAGGGTGCAACTAGACAACCAAATTGGAGCAGGCTGGAGCAAGATAAATAGTGTTGCTTAAGGTCATCTACAGGTGTGGTAAGCCATCTGGTGCAATCCTGGCACCCACATATAAGGACTGGGTAGTTTTTGGGTCCAGAAACCACACCACAAGTGACCCTATTTGGCTCATCTTCCTCTAAAAGCAAAATAAAAAAAGAGAAAAGAAAAAATAACAAATAATTAAAAAATATCAATGTTGCTCTACAAAGATTTTTTTTTAAAAAAATGCTTTGTCTCTCCCCCACTCCACGAAGGAGTGGAGGAAGCTTTCAGTTTTCCAATAATTATTAAGTAGCTTAAAGCAGGCAATTTGAGCCATTTGCTTTGTTTTGATCCTAGTTCTGCCTTCTTTTACTAAAACACACATACATCATACAACATACTCTAAATATGTTTTCTAAATATGTGCCCTAAATGCTTTGGAACTATTAGTAAAATGCAGGCTTAGCCCAATGCTCTTCTCCCCCTGGTATAAAGAACAAAATGATGCTCCTCCTTCTATGTGTCAAAACTAAGCAGACTAGTAACTAAATCTTTCTGGAAAATTGACAATGAAACAGCATAATCTATCATCTAGTAGTGCAGCTTTAGTTGGATAGCATATACAATGAAGTTCTTGGTCCCTCCACTGATTATGATCCACCAGCATCTGTCTATTATCCATCAGCATCTACTGCTTGAGCAACCACCTCATGTTGCCTAACGAAAGGGCCAACCCTGCTGATGGAAATGGAAAGCACTCCTCACCACCATCATTCAGCCTAGAATGCATATTCACTTTAAAAAAAAATGAAACCTTCCATCAAAAATGCCATTCTACAAATTTGTTTGTTTGCTTGTTTAATAATTTGCTACATGACACATACCTTTATATATTCCATTATAGCCACCATTGACTTCTCCATTGCTTGACACTTCTTCAACATGGGCCCCTTGATCAGAAGTGAAATACACAAGAGTCTTTGCACTTAAGTTCCATTGATCTAGTGCCTGGAGAATTTGTCCTTAAAAATATAAAGAGATTTTTCAAAATGACTATAAAAATATATTCGGTATACAGTATACATCAATAAATTGTTCCAATTAAAAATTATTAGACTATACACTAACTTACTCTTTGCTGAGCTACTTTCATATAAAATGTGGCCCAAAGGATATCATAGATTTGTTTCCTGGTTTCTTTCTCAAGTAGAAAACAAAATATATGTATCATGAAAAAGGATTTCTGGATGGAGGAATTGTCTTTTTTAAGGATTATTTGTGATTGCTCGTGATCCATTAATCAGCTGGCATGGATTTTCAAACAGGGCAATGAAAGATTTGTGAGAACTAAATCTGTTTTGATTGTAAAACGACACAGTGAACTGTGTGTCCAGGAGTGCTCTGTTGTTTAGAGATTATGCAAAATGTTAATCAAAAGTCATAAATGGGTGTCACTGGTAAATGATCCTTGGTATCTCATGGCTGGAACCAAAAGCTCAAGGTGAGCCCTCGCAACTTGCTGATTAGTTGCTATTAGCCATAGCAAGTTATGTACATCTTATGGAAAGACCAGTAACATTCCGAGCATTGGATCCTATTGGAATAAAAAACTTTGAAGTTAAAGTTAGCATGGCAGATGTTAGGAAGATGTGAATGTAATTGTCAACTAAAAACAAGAATGGCCAAAGACTGCAATTTATTTGAGGTAAACATGTGACTTCTACAGCTGAATAGCGTATTAAATCTGGGTCCAAATCCAGTTGATAGACCGCGCCACGAAGCTGGAAAAGGACATCATCAAGTTACATGAAACATTGCTATAGCCTTTTTAGATGTATGCTAACACCAGTTTGTAACAGAACAGCCTTATGCACAGGGAGCAGGGTCAAAATGGTTTAACTTCTGAGATTCTCCTCTAAGCAAGCTTTAACAATGTTTTCTTTCCTTGGTTTTTTTTTTTTTAAATCCACCTCCTTGCTCAACACCCAAATGTATATGAAAACAGGATACTTCCCCTTTTGCTGCATTTGCTGTCCTGTTCCCAGCTTCCTTAAGCATCTCATTTAAAACACAGAGCATCCTCAACTTTAACAATGTTTTCCTTCCTTGGTTTTTTTTTTTTTAAATCCACCTCCTTGCTCAACACCCAAATGTATATGAAAACCTCCCCTTTTGCCGCATTTGCTGTCCTGTTCCCAGCTTCCTTAAGCATCTCATTTAAAACACAGAGCATCCTCAGACTTGCCAGCATTCATCATGATGTTTTTCATTTGTACTGCATAACAAGCCAGTTCCCATCCATCTTCAGAGCCACCATTCATATTCACAGAAAGGTGCAGGCATAATAACTACTTTGCTTTTCCTTCTGATGGGCATTTCCTTATTACATAGCCTTATTACCTCTCCTTCTTTTTCTCCCTCTATATAGAACATGGCATCTGTCCTAGAAGCTACTTTCTTTATTGAGATATTATATGTAATATAACTTTCCTAGAATCCCTGGCTAAACTGACTCATCATTTCTAGGAGTTGTAATCCCAAACAAACAAACAAACAAACAAACAAAGGAGTTGTAATCCAAAACAAACAAACAAACAAACAAACAAACAAACAAACAAAACCCACAACCTTTCTAAGCTTTGGTCTTAATCCTACCACTGATTTTAAACTAAAAACTGACACCTCTGGATACTAAAGGAAATTTTTCACATTAAGACATTTTCATTTAACAGACAAATCAGAAAAGTACCCGAAACATTAACGTTAAATATACCATAGCTGATTAGGACCCAAAGAAGAGAAAGGCAGGTCACAGAGATTCCCTAAGAAGAAGTGGGCTGCAGTCCATCAAAGCTTACACCAAATAAAATTTGTTAGCTTTTCCAGGGGCACAAGATGCTTTGCTTGTTTTGTTGCAACAGATGATACAATAACTTTGCTACTCCTCTGAAAATGCCACTAAAAATATTTTTCACTAACTTTAGCAGTAGAAAAATATGAAATGTAGGACAGCCTGCCTGCCAAAGAAAGGAAGAGAGCAGAGGATTGATTTAGAGAAAAGAGTGCCAGAAGTGTACAGTACAACCTTTGTATCCATGGGGGGAGGGTGGGTGGTTCCAAGCCCCCTGCGGATGTCAAAAATTGCAGATTTTGGTGAACGTTATTTTTATGCAGCATGGTTTCTGGCGCCTTCTAGTGGCCAGTTCTCATCATCATAGGCATCCTTCAGTCTCGAGAGACTATGGTAACGTGCTCTGAAGGGAGGACTTGGAACAGCGTCTAGTGTTTTGACGCTGTACACGAAGCTGGAGCGTCCTCTACTTCATATTTAGAAATATATATTTCTAGGATTTTTCTATTAATATTTTATTATTTTCTAACCACGAATAAGTGAATCAGCAGATATTGATGCTGTGGATAAGGGGGTCATACTGCACTTCCTTGGTGGAGATATTCATCTGAGTGACATCCACCAATGTAGGCATAAGAAAAAGGTGAGGTTTCAGTGTGCTATAGATTGTTGTTACGTACTTTCAAATCACCTCCAAATTATAACTTTATGAAAGAGTGATCTTCAGAATTACCTATATCTGATATCCAGTATCTTGGAGTTTCTTTTCTCACTCCTTAACAGGACTGAATGCCTAACGCTCTTTTCTGTGATACATCTTATGCACTTGGCTGTACTATCTTGCCTTCACAATATAGATAATTCTTGCTTGGTTTGCTCTAGGACCCACTTGTATATCTTTCTGGCAGTCTAGGGTATCTGCAAACCTTGCCTCCAGTCCCACATTTCAAATGAATCTATCTTTTGCTATGGATATGCAGAAGCCTAACATCAAAGTGGTCATAAGAAATAGTCACAATATCATTCTCTATGGATACGCAGAGGTATTGGAAATGCCATTCGAGATGGACATTGGCTATGCTACTAGGACCACAGCTCTATCACACTGGGGCCAGAGGGACATAGGATGAGAAGTGAATCTTGCCTTACTGACACCTGGTGATACAATGACAACACCGTAGACTGGAGTCCCGAAGGCAGCATGTGTCATTCTGCCAACTCCTGCGACATTGCTGGAACCAGTTGTATTGGCTCTTGCCTTTCCATTGGACCCTTTCAGCAATGTGGAGAGGGGGGATCTGCTGCTTGGGTAACAGCCTATCCTCCATATTACCTTCCCCGGGCTTCATGCTCTGGAGAGGACACTCCTCGATTCAGAGCATGTTACCATAGTCTCTCGAGACTGAAGGATGCCTATACATGGTTGCACATTTAATAGGGCATTCAGCAGCCACTCTCCTGGTGGCACCCTTAAGGACCCAGCCAAGTCCTCCCTCCCTCTCCATTTGGCTGTGGCTACGGCAGCTTTACTTGGGTCTCTTTTACTCCAGAGCCAACAGAATCAGTGAATTCCTCCCTCTACCTTGAGGGACAGTGGCACCATTGGCAGGAAAGAAGCTGGATTAGCATTGCTGGTGGCACCTACCACTTTTTTTCTCCACAATGCCTCATGGAGAACTATTTCAATGGGGATTTTTGAGCCTCAGGGATGTGTGTGTGTGTGTGTGTACTTGGGTCTCTTTTACTCCAGAGCCAACAGAATCAGTGAATTCCTCCCTCTACCTTGAGGGACAGTGGCACCATTGGCAGGAAAGAAGCTGGATTAGCATTGCTGGTGGCACCTACCACTTTTTTTCTCCACAATGCCTCATGGAGAACTATTTCAATGGGGATTTTTGAGCCTCAGGGATGTGTGTGTGTGTGTGTGTGTGTGTGTGAGAGAGAGAGAGAGAGAGAGAGAGAGAGAGAGAGATTGGCTGGATTATGGTTCTGAACCATGGTTTTAGACATGCATGAAACGAGATGTCCAGATTTGCCTGAGGAATTTGTTTAACTTACAATATGCAGGAGGCAATGGTAGAACGCAGGCGGGTTAATAGAGGACAACAATACCTATGTTTCCAGAAACATAGAAAAATTGTATGGACTAAATCTGAATTATTAGACCCAAAGAGGATAGTCCTATCAAATCAAAGGCACTGGCCTTTCAATGTCCCTTTTATTTAGTGAGTCTACTCTATTTGGTACTAATAATTGGATCTAGCTTTATGAGTGAGATGGGTCTAGGGGTTGGACAATAAAATCCTTGTCCAGAGACATCCCAGCTAAAGATTATTAAAATGGGCAGAGACAGTTTTGGTGTCATTCAGCTCAATCTGACCCTCAGCATAGTTTTACCACAAGCTGTAAAATGTCTTGTTCATGGGGAGAAAACACAAAACAATAGAAGAGACTATTTTTATTTCAGACTTTCTTTTCCTCCCTGTCAGCAGCAACACAGGAAAGAATAAAATAAAATGATTATGATGTAGCAGACTGAAGAATAAAAAAATAGTTAAAATAACGAGTTAAATTTAGAAGCAATCATTTCTCATCGGTATTTGACATGTGGCAACATTCAAAACTTCACATTTTTCTGCTCCTCGGAAATAGGTGTCACAAAAATAAGACATCTCCATTTCCTTCTTGCACATAGACGCTTGGATGGTTGAGTGATGTACAAATAAGTGAGGTGACATGTGCTCCTTTTGAGATAAAGTACATCTAATGGGTTTTATGATCCTACTACACAATAAGCTTAGAAGTATCGGCTGATAGGTGGAATGAGCACAACTTTAGAATATATATATTATGAAAGGTTCTGAAACAAAGGCATTCTTTAAATGTACATGCTTGAAATCCTCATGTCCTTTAAGTCCTTTACAGTTGCTGTTAAAGTGCTTGTAGTAGTGACTTTCCACTTGGAGGAAAAAAACAGGACACAGTAAAGGGGGTGAACTAGGGCCACAAGTTTATTAAACATTTGTAATAATCCTGTAATGGGGCTTCCTCTACTGTGGGAGCTATAATGGACCTCTTCATCTCCTCCTTTCTGTCTCAAGGGCACATTTCCCTGCTCTGGTGTATTCTCCATCCTGACACAAATGGGCCCTTCACATGGAGAACCCTTCC